CTTAAGCTGTATTTTATTTCCCAAGTTCTGGATCGTTCAGTATAGGTGACCTTGATATAGGTTTCATTGATTAAATGCCACAAGCCACATATATCTTTTGTAACTGTTGGGTACAAAGACTACCTTTGCCATGTTGTCATCCCCATCCACTATAAAATACCTAGTATTTGATTAACTGATAAGCCGTATTCAAAAATTTAACCCTGGTGTGATTGGAATTGAGTCAGGGAGAAAAGGAAAGCTCCTGCCTTCTTTGTCTTTTTGACAAACCAGTATTTTAAAAAAGTAATTGTATATGGACTATAAGGTCTAGTATCCCGAGACTACCATGGCCGGGCAGGAGAGAGTCATGCTAATTGGGGGATTTTGGGAGCTATAATTTGAACAATAGAACTTCCAAGCTTTTTTCCTTCCCAATAAATGTTATTCACATGATTAAATCCCTAAGAAAATGAAGTTTAGAATTACATAGTCAACCTTACATATGTAGAGATGCTCATGGAGGCCTCAAGTAATGGGCAGCAATAATGTGACAGATGGGGACAGGTCCATCAATACATATAGACTTTTTCATCTCATCTAATCTTACCTAATATCTCATCTAATAGCCTACCCTTCTATCCCAATCTAGTTTCTGTTCTTCACAAATATTATTGTTTTATATGTGAATTTTGCCCAATTTTTATATTGAAAACAAATTACTAATAATTTGTTTTCACTGACTCAGTAGCTGGGAAATCAAGATGTACTTTGCATCAGATGTTCAGATTCTTCAAATAGATGTGTTGCTGGTTTAGGCCTTTGAATTGTTCTTTCTTCTGTGATCTTGCATCCCTATACTTCTTAGACCTTTCCTGTTTCTCTACTAGAGTTGTGCTTCTTTATCTGATTGAACTGTTTAGTTAACTTGCTGAGAAGAGACAAAATAATTGCCATCAATTATTTTTAGTGCTGGGCCGGACTTGGTTGGCTGTTCACTTTCCAGGATATTATCTCTTGAAGACAATAATAGTTTTGCTTGAAAATTCTAGGCAAGACCAGTTCTATATCATTTCAGGGAACTGGTTCTTACTGCCATGCCCATTACAACAGTGAATAACTTGAACATCTAGAAGGCCTGTATTAACATTGAGGACATGCCTACATTATTACATAATTATGGGGCACTGAAAGATATTGCAATACCTATATGAAGGGTTCTATAGTATTATTGGAATTAATCCAGCTAATAGACTTTCTTACTTTTCCTGACTGAGGAATACTTTGCATCTGTGTGACATGGCAGGCAGGGAGGCAGATTCACTTTAATTTGTTAGTACTGCTCATTTGAGTTCCTGCTGCTATCTAATCGTATTTCCTATTCCTCACTGATCCTTCAAAGGAAAAGGGAAAAGAGAAATTGACAACGTCGGAGAAAGCCAGCAAGAAAGCAAGGGGTGGGGGTGGGGGGAGAGTTGTCCCTATAAGGCTGTTAAAACAACTGTGTGTGTGTATCACTTCAATTTGCTCACTGTTTTAGGAAAAGTAAAAACAAGATATAGAAGTGTTTCATTTCGATATACTGAAATCATTTCACTGCTATGATTGGGGACCTGATATTGAAAGAAGCCCGACTGTGTTAAAATTTCCATTTTTTATTAAAATGTTCCAGAATATTGGTGTGCAGGTGTTCATGTTTGAAATATAATGCATTGTTTCAAACGAGGCATTCTAGTGACTTTAGGTTTTTTTCTGCTTCCAGTATGAATGAGTGTATTTTCAGTGTAGCCAAATTGACACCAATCACACACGAGAGAAGTTGTTGTTATTGTTATGGTATGCCTTTGAGTCATTTCCAATCCATGGCCATCATAAGTCAAACCTATCCCTGGGATTTCTTGACAAGATTATTCAGAGAAGTTTACCTTTGCTTTCCTTTGAAGCTGAGAGAATGTGACTTGGTAAGGTTACCTAATGGGTTTCCATGCCAAAGGATGGTTTTGATCCGTGGTCTCCAGAGTTGTTGTAGTCCATCACTCCACCACACTGGCACCCAAAAGAGAAGTACAAAGATTCTTTAAAAGGGATGAGGCTCCTTTGTAGAGTGGAAATCTCACTAAAACAGTCCAGTAAATGTTCTTCATGGCCACAAAATGTTGGGAGGCAAAACAGTTTGCAGGGGAAATAGCATGCTGTACTGTGAAGAAGGACACAAAGCGGAAAGATGGACAAGAAGTATTTCAGACTGCTATGTATATGTACCAAAAGCTGGTGAAGACATTCGTTTTAGAGAAAGTTCTCCATGTATTATTTGCAACCTGGCTATATCAGTTACTGTTCAATCCCCAATACTTTTAAGTATTTTAAGTAGTTGCATTGTGTATTTTTACATTTATTTTTATAATTTTATATTCCATTATGACATGAGTGCATGTTCTTAATTTTTTAATTCCTTATTTGTTATGTGTTGCTTAAAAAGGTAAAAAGAAAAAAAAACATAAATAGCTTAAGATTTATACTGTTATAGTCCCATTTGAAAAAAAGTTTGAGGGACAAGAGAGAACCACAAATGGTTTGTGCCCCCTGTCCTTTTTACTTCTTTGCAAATCTTGGAAAAGTTGCCTTTTTTACAGTTTTGAGAATCCTTCAGCTTGAATGGTTTCTGGCTGGCTGAAGGAGGTTGAACATTTTAGTCATAAAAAGGGAGTTGCCCAAGCTCTGCATTTTTGTACTATCTGATATGGTACAAAGACAAGTATCGTCTCCTCCCACATTACAAAACAGTAGCACTGTGGAACTCTGTCATAGATGCACCATGGAGAATCTTGGGTTTTGTATTCTGATGAGACATTTTCTGCCTATCCCTAAATTGCAAATTCCTGGATTCTAATCACATAATGTGAAGTGGCCCTTAATATGAGAATATTTCATGCACAAGTCCATAAGAGGTTAGCCCAACCTTTAATTAGACTGAGGTAGCAGACTTTGGGTGTCATGGAGGGTGGCAGTTCACTTGTTTATTTAGAATGATAAATAGTGCTATGGAATAGATCTGTCGATTTGGAAGGCTTCTATCTGTCTGTCTCTTTCTGTCTGTCTGTCTGTCTTTTTTTTTTTTTGGAAGCTGGTGCCTCTAGTGGGATAGTGAATCCCCTCCTTTTTTTTATTCTGAAATTTAAAGCTATTATTGAAGGTGTTGAACCTAATGTGGAGATAGGGTTCAGCACCATAGACAGTTCCTTGAAACATCAGAATTAAACTGGGAAGTTCTGACATTGTAGCCCCATTCTGGCTGACAAAGTGCCAGAATAATTTATTTTGATTTAGCAGCTTGACTTTAGAAATGTTGGTGCAAGAAAATGAACCAACAATGTGATGCAGCAGCGAAAATGGTCAATGAGATTTTGGGCTGCATCAAAAGGAGTATAGTGTCTAGATCAGGCATGGGCAAACTTTGACTCTCCAGGTGTTTTGGACTTCAACTCCCAGAAATCCCAGCCAGTTTGCCAGCTGTTAGGAATTGTGGGAGTCCAAAACACTTGGAGGACTGAATTTTGCCTATGCCTGGTATAGATCAGGGGAAGTAGTGTTGCTCCTCTATTCTGCTTTGGTTAGATCTCACCTAGAATATTTTGGTCTGTTCTGGGAACCACAGTTCAAGAGGGATATTGGCAAGCTAAAACTGATCAAAGGTCTGGAAACTATTCACTATGAGGAGTGACTCGAAGAGTAGCTTATCTAGCCTGTAGAAGAGAAGGTTGAGAGGAGATGTGATAGGCATGTTTAAATACTTGAAGTGATGCCAAAAAGGGAGTATGCTTGTTTTCTACTATCCTGGAAACTAGTGACCTCATCATATGGGGCTTTTGCTCCATCCTAGGATGCTGCCAGGATGGAGCTCACTGGAGCCCATCACATGACACAGGTCTACTTCTGGCTGACCTCCATCCTGACTCTGTCCTGGCAGCATTGTGGGACAGAGCCCTGAGCACACAGGTGGCTACCCGTGTTCTCATTAACTAAACTGGGGACTGCGTGGGGGAAAGCTGGGAAATATCAGTTTCCCCCATGTGAAGCAGAAGGAGGCAATATGCGTGACACTGGGCACTTAATGACAAGTTCTGCTGCTACCCGATGGATTACCCCGCTATTCTCTGGCTTAAAGATCTCCATAAGATGAGGTCCTAGGACTCAGAGCAATGGGTTCAAATTACAGGAAAAGAGATTACACCTGAACATGAGGAAGAACTTCCTGACTATAAGAGCTCTTGTAGAACTCTCTGCCTTTGAGTGTGTTGGAGCTCCTTCTTTAGAGGCTTTTAACAGAGCCTAAATGGCCATCTATCAGGGATACTTTGACTGTGATTTTCCTCCATAGCAGGGGGTTGGACTGGATGGCCCGTGTGAGGTCTTTTAACTCATATGATTCAATGAAATTCATAACGTGAAATTTGCTATTAAATACCTTGCTCCGTAGACATCTTAGCATTAGATACTGTACCAATTGTTTTAATTGTAGTTCCTATTTATTTTCCAGGGTTTTTTAAAAAACTCTGAATATATTGTATCAGAAGCACTTAATTTAGAGTTAAAAGACATTCAGTTGACAGTTGGCCCTATACATGTGAACATGGACTCTCACATATGAAACAGGTGTTCTACATAAGGAAATACGAGAAACATGAGTGTGGGAAAATAACAATTTTAAAAAGTTTTTTTTATATTACATTTCTAAGAATTCATTGGTTTATGAGAGTTGTGGGGTCTATTGATTCTTGGAGGCATCATTGTATATTGTATTCTTAGAATGTCTTCTTTCTTTTTAAATGTCAGTTCTGTGCATACTTTTGTACTCATTTGTGCACCGAGCTGAACAATGTTTGTTGTCACTGATTATCTCCACTCAAGATCTGCTTGATCGTATCCTAATTCAGCTGCTCTTCTTGCTACTTAATTAATGAGGAGATTCATTTCCAAAGTTGCTAGCCTTTGTTATTTGTGGTTGTTTTCCCCTACTGCAGAGCACTTCATCAAGCAGCAGTAGTGTGAATCTATTGCTCCAGGAGGAAAAAAAAACTACTTGAAAGAGCAGCTGAACAGTCTCTTATATGTGATCAAATAAGAAAAACAAAACAAGTACTGTCGCCACAGCAGGAATGTACCAGGGAAATGATTGGAAGAATTCAGCAGTGAGGAAAAAAACAGAATCATCAGATGAGTTGCTTTCTCAAGCTGTGTCATTGGACCTGATATCTTGTTTTCTTGCTTCTATGGAGTACTGGTCTTGACTGTTTTTTTGCGTTCAGACAATATCATGACAACTAGCAGCCGCACATGTCCAGTACCAACAGTCAATGGACGTATGACTCACTATCCAACACCACCATACCCATTACTTTTTCCTCCTGTCATTGGTGGACTTTCTCTTTCAACTCTTCATGGCATTCAAGGAAATCCAACAACAAATGGATACAGCACGCCATCTCCAGCAAGTAAGTACTGACACTTTTGTCAGTCTTATTTTCTTTATTCATTTCTACACTGATGATCAGGCATGTCATTCGGTTTTTAATTCTTTAAAAAACGAATAGTCAGAGTATTTAGTATTGCATGATACACCAAAATCTTCAGGTTAACTTATGTAGCTTTCCAAACTAGAGATACGTTGCCCAGCCAGCCAAGTGGATAATGGTAAAGGTTCTAAGCGTATCTCCTGCTATTGTGGACTTCTAGATGTCCCTGAGTGGGTGACTGACACATTGCATGCTTGTGAAGGGTGGAACAGACCTATAACCCCTGTCAGTGGAACTCATTTCAAAGAGGTTCAACCAAATCAACTGCAAATTTATGCATCATTTAAGGAACTCTGCCCCTAGTAATAGAAATAGTACTACAGTCTTAAACTCATGGGCACATTTGAATTGTTTAAAATGTTCTGGTAAGTTTAACTTGATGCATATACCTCTTGGTGCCTCTTTATATGTGTGCCATGTTTTGGGTGTCTGTGTTTTGTTGTTTTGGATTTGTGGATCTGTTTGAAGACATAGCTGCTTTTTTATTATTTCAGATTTATAGAAAGCATGTCTCTAGAACTTTAGTTTATGGTATGTTTCGGTTTCTGAAAACACTAATCCAGACTATAATAAAGGAAATAGTGTTGAGTGCTCTGCTCTACAAATCCATCAAAATGAAATAGTAGTAATGGTATTTTTCTGATTATGCATGCTTATTCAAATATCCCTTATGCCTCTTACTGCTTTCTAATATTACAATATGTCTATTATGTTAATATGTACTTTTCCACAAAGTAGTATGCACAGACACTTATAACAAACCACAAAGTAGGGTAAGTCAAAGGAGAGCAGCTGGCTCAGTGCCAAGCACTGAAATTCACATTTGAATGAAGATTTCAAGATCTTCTGATCTTATGCCAGCATTCTGACTACATGGCTCTCAAGCAGAGAAAGACATTTGGGGTTGGCTGACACCCAAGCAATAGACATAGTTGTTAAATACGGATGTATTCTGTTAAATTTAAATGCTATAACTAATGCTGTTTTTTTCTTCCTGCACATATACCGGTATCTCTTTTGCTTTCAGTGAAGCATAATCTGATAGACACATGATTCTTAAACTTTGGTTATTGGACTTTAGTTCCCAGAAGCCCATATAGCATGGCCCAATGGTTAGGGATTATGAAAGAACTCCAATTTTGGAACCACTCTTTTGGACCATTGGCCATTTTAACAAATGATGGTGGTTAAATTCCCAACACTTTTAGATGACATCTGATTAAAGAATTATATTCTAGGTTGAAAGAGTAGTCTGCTGTATTGGAATCGGGATATGTTTTATGCTGTTTAAAATGGCTTTCAATACTCAATTAATTCATTAACACAGATCTCACAAAGGCTTATTCAGTAGCTAGCTAATATGATATCAGCACATAGATTATGTGTTGGGCAACTAGCTTTAAGAGGGCTTTTGCTCTGGACCTTGTGTTGTTGTTTGACATTAAAATTGATTTTAGGATATTGAGCCATGGTATCTTTTCATTGCTTTGGAAGTCTTCTGATAGAAATCAGTTGTTTGTGGGGGTGGGGGTGGGGTTGGGCTTCTGCCCATGTTTCACCATTTTCCTGACTGTTGCTTCTACGTGATGTTAGAAATGGATGTTAAATACCAGGTCATGGGACTGAAAAGGGAAATTGGGCTTTTTTTGTCACTAGAAAATATTGTCATTAGTGAGTTTTTAGCAGTTGCCCTTGTGTTTAAGAAGGCTCACATATCCTCAGATCTTTGAAACTTTACCCTTTTGGACTATAACATTTAGAATACCTTCATCAACATGAATTGTGGGAACTGTGGCAAAAGTGTGCACATTCCCTCTGGGCAATCAGTGCACTCAGTTTACTGGTATAGTTTGCACCTGGTTCTTTATTTTGTTCGTTTCTATTCTTAATTATTTTCTATAAACTTAAATGACTGATATCTCATATCTGGAGTGCAGTTTCCCATTCTTGTTCTACTAAGATGCCGGACTAGCAATGCCTTATAGGAAGGGCATCACCTTATGATATATTGCTGCTGTGATCATCCAGACAAATAAGGGAAGCCTTATCACAAGTCACCTCACAGCACTTTTGAGCACATTAATTTTACAAGCATAAGTGGCTCACAGACTATACACGGTGGAGATTTAATTCCACTGATGATACTAATAGCTTTGACGTCTTAACCTCAACCTTTATGACTTAACTTCTGTTTTTATATCCAGTCAACATTAGAAAAATACTTAATAATTATGAGGTTGGTCATCGTGTTATAAAGGTTGGTGGAAGGAAAAATATTACCTTTCCACAAAGGTGAACTCTAAATTAATGTTAAAGTAATAAAAGAAACACAGTAGTCAGGTTTGAACATTATTGTTCCAATGTGATTAGTTGACCATGTCATGCACTAACAAAGCAGAAGCTAGTATTATTCAACCTCCTGGTCTGTTCAGCAGTACGCTTGAGGGTATACCTTGTGTTGAATGAAGTCAACTTGCAATAGGTTTAAATGTGCTAATTGTTCTTTCTACTTGCTTTCAGTTCTAGAACCATGTAAAACCTTTCAAAAATAAATAAAACAAAATGATGGGGTATGGAAAAATGTAGACGTTGATTCTCTTGAAATAGAGTGGAACAAGTTTTGGGATCGCATTGACCCCCTGTGAATCCAGTGCAAGCAGCTTACCTTAACCATGTTGCATTTGCTTCAGCCTTTGCCAAAAATGTTAGGGCAGTGGCAAAAAAGCTATTATTCGCAAATGCATTTCTTTTAAGTTGCAGTAATTGTGCATCAAGTTTGGTGGTTTGGGGGCGGGGACAGAGGAGGGTAGCAAGCAGCAACATATTTTGTCTACACCGGTTTGTTTGTTTTTTCCAATATTAAATTTTATTCCATTTCTATTCATTTCAAAAATCATATTCATATACTTATTTCTTCTTCTTTCCCCCATTGTGCTACCCGTTTGCATACACCTATTTGAAAACATGATTGGCAAAGCCTTTAGGTAGCTTTCAGAGGACAACAGGTAGGAACAATGAGGCCACCCAGTGTAGAAAATGAACCAACAAGATGGTGGGATCATGAAATGCTGACCAGTAAAAGAAAACATGCAGTCTCAAGCTTGCATAATTGAGAGCTAAATTATGCAAGACTCAAGTTGGAGACTCAAGTTGGAGAGCTAAATTAATTGGCTTCACGTTCCCTGTTCCCTGTTTCATATAAGCTCTTTGTCATAATACTTATATAGGCCTTGTATTGAAGCCATGATTGAGGTGTATCTCTGCCTCCTTGGCAATATCATCACAAATAGTGGCCTTGTCCCAGCCAGCACATGATTGATGCAATCTGAAAGGGGGGCTGAAATTGATTATTGTTTGTTTGTTTGTTTTTTAAAAGATGCAAACATAAATGCTGAGCCAGTTGCTATTTCACAAAATCCTGAATAATAGCCAGGAAATACAGGTTGCCTTTTGTTCTTCTCATCATCTATAAAGGCCAGAGCATCTGACATGATTTAGTAGCCAAGCATTCATGATAGCCTCCACACTTTAGATTATTTATACACATTTAGTGCCCCCAGATTTTTATGGCATGTGACTATGTAGTTTTTTAGTTTAGTTGTAACTAATGATAAAAGTTTTACTTTTCATATCTGATTGCTTTCAAATTTATTTCACCTTTACTAAACATACATGTGTGCATACATATATAGACATATGTGCATTCTAATGATTATGTATACCTACCTATTGAATGGGCCTTAAGAAGCATTGCTAACAACAAGGCAGCAGGAGACGACGGGATCCCAGCTGAACTGTTTAAAATCTTAAAAGATGAATGCTGTCAAGGTGATGCATGCCATATGCCAGCAAATATGGAAAACACAAGAATGGCCATCAGACTGGAAAAAATCAACTTATATCCCCATACCAAAAAAGGGAAATGCGAAAGACTGCTCAAACTTCCGTACAGTGGCCCTTTTTTCTCATGCCAGTAAGGTAATGCTCAAGATCCTGCAAGGAAGACTCCAGCAATACATGGAGCGAGAGTTGCCAGATGTTCAAGCTGGGTTTAGAAAAGGCAGAGGAACGAGAGACCAGATTGCCAATATCCGCTGGATAATGGGAAAGGCAGGGAGTTTCAGAAAAACATCTACTTCTGCTTCATTGACTATTCTAAAGCCTTTGACTGTGTGGATCATAATAAATTGTGGCAAGTTCTTAGTGGGATGGGCATCCCAAGCCACCTTGTCTCTCTCCTGAGGAATCTGTACAAGGACCAAGTAGCAACAGTCAGAACTGACCACGGAACAACAGACTGGTTCAAGATTGGGAAAGGCGTACGGCAAGGCTGCATACTCTCACCCAACCTTTTTAACTTGTATGCAGAACACATCATGCGATGTGCGGGGCTTGATGAATGCAAAGCTGGGGTGAAAATTGCTGGAAGAAACATCAACAACCTCAGATATGCAGATGACACCACTCTGATGGCCGAAAGCGAGGAGGAGCTGAGGAGCCTTCTAATCAAGGTGAAAGAAGAAAGCGCAAAAGCCGGGTTGCAGCTAAATCAAAAAAACCATGATTATGGCAACAAGAATGATTGACAACTGGGAAATAGAGGGAGAAAATGTGGAGGCTGTGATAGACTTTGTATTTCTAGGTGCAAAGATTACTGCAGATGCAGACTGTAGCCAGGAAATCAGAAGACGCTTACTTCTTGGGAGGAGAGCAATGTCCAGTCTCGATAAAATAGTGAAGAGTAGAGACATCACACTGGCAACAAAGATCCACCTTGTCAAAGCCATGGTATTCCCTGTAGTAACCTACGGATGTGAGAGCTGGACCTTAGGGAAGGCTGAGCGAAGGAAGATCGATGCTTTTGAGCTGTGGTGTTGGAGGAAAGTGCTGAGAGTGCCTTGGACTGCCAAGAAGATCCA